TTTATTTTTATTAAATATCAATATCTATATTTAATCATTAATTATTTTATTTGGTTAAATACCTTTTTTGGTCCCTCTACTATAGAAAAAAGTTCTTTTTTAATCTCTGTATCGAAAAAATCTTCTTTTTGATCTTTATTGTTCATAAATCCAACCCCTTTTTAGTCCTTTCGTTAAATTTTTGATGATGTGTCACGTTAATTAACAGAATCACTTAAGTATATTTTATATAAATAATACTATAAATAACGTGAAAATTCATGGATGCCACCTATACAAATTAAAATGCCACATGTACAAATTAAAAATTTTAACCCTTAATTTGTCAATTAAATGAATTTAAACCAAATGAACTTTAATTTCATCTTCTTCTTTCTCCTCCCATGCTTATCCTCATCCTTGGCATTCTCTTCGCCAACCTCTTCTACTCTTCATCATCCTCTTCACTCTAGAACCTAGTTCCTTGAGGAACCCATGTGCTGGGTTTGAACTTGGTTCTGGGTTCCTTGAGGAACCCACGTGCTGGGTTTGAACCCAAATCTGGGTTTCTCGCGGAACCCGGTTGCTGGGTTCCTTGATGAACCCAGAAACTGGGTTTTGCGAAGTTTCTGGGTTCCTCGCAGAACCCAGTTTCTGGGTTCCTTGATGAACCCAGAAATTGGGTTTTGCTAGGAACCCAGTTCTGGGTTCGTTGACAAACCCAAAAATTGGGTTTCATGGGGTACCCAGTTTTTGGGTTCCTCGTGGTACCCAGTTTCTGGGTTCCTCGTGGTACCCAGTTTCTGGGTTCCTTGGGAAACCCAGTTCTGCGTTCCAACCCCCGCTCTTTTTTTTTTTTATATATAATTATTTTGAATCTATCTATTTATGGGTTGAATGAAACAAAAATTTCATGTTCAGATTGTGTTTGGTTTGATGTTTGGGTTTGAAATTGCAGGTGATAACTTCATTTTGTTGTGTTTATGTTGTTCTGGGTTCGTTAACAAACCCAAAAACTGCATTTCATGAGGAACCCAACTAGCGGTACCCAGTTTCTAGGTTTGTCGAGGAACCCAGTTCTGCGTTCCAACCCTTACTCTTTTTTTTTTCTTAATTATTTTGAATCTATCTATTTATGGGTTGAATGAAACAAAAATTTCATGTTCAGATTGTGTTTGGTTTGATATTTGGGTTTGAAATTGCATGTGATAACTTCATTTTGTTGTGTTTATGTTGTTATAAA